AACCACACAAATAGATACTGTGCGAGATTGTTTAGACTCACGGATGAGAGACCAAGCTCCTGTTTTAATGAAACTGTCTGACGGTCATTTGCTTGGAGTCAGTGGACCACAAGTCTGAGTCTGCATAAAAAACCCACATTTTTTCCCAAACAGTTTCATGTGTCAGGACGGTCGGCTGTCTGCGTTCTCTGGGGCCCGTGGAGGGGGATTTTATGTCTCTCTATTGTTCTATATTGACTTGTGCTCAAGAAAAAACATTAAAGAGCTGAATCGTCAGGACTAAAGAATCAGTCGCCTCTGCCAGAGCTAAACTTAGAAAATAACAGGACTCCTTCGCCAAAACGCCAAAGACACTGCCCTGGAAAAATGGCATGGTGAAACAGGCCCAAAAAAAACTAACGCAGAGACACTTAATTAAAAGATGACAGAAACAGCATCAACTGCTGCCAGTGCATATATAAACCTGCAGACAGGGTTGCAGGAGCGCTCGTAACTTCAGAAAGATTCACTGCTAAAAATGTACAAATAATGATTACAGAAATAATCATTATTTCTGATGACGATATCACTGCGTGTCAATAATTATACAAGTCTGAAGAACGCTAAACGTCCAGTTTTCTAATGCAGTTACACACGGTTACTAAAACGTCTCGCTCACAACATTCTACTAAATTTATTTTCGAACAAAACACAACATTTGAACTTTTATTCCAAGAACTTGAAAATGTAAAATCGTAATTAGAAAGTTACTTAAAGGTTACCGAAACATTTCTTACAACGTTCTATTAACTTCCAAAATATAACCTTATTTGAACATTTATTTGTAATATTCCAAGAACATTAAAATGTCATGCTTTCTAATGTAATTAGAACCAGTGTTGGGTTACAAGTAACGCAAGCTACATAATCAGATTACTTTTTTCAAGTAACTAGTAAAGTAACACGTTACTTTTTAATTTAAAAGAAAATATCGGAGTTATTTTTTCAAGTAAGTAATGCAAGTTACTGTGTTTTTTAATTGACTGACAGCTGTTTGAGCTGTGCCCTCTACTGTACAGATGTGAATTTACATTTGCTTCAGCCTGAGGCGCATTCATTTCACATTTGGTGTGAAAAGGTTTTTACATTTGCCAAAATCAGAACTTTTTTCTATTGAAAACAAACAAGCAAGCCTTGCTCAGATGAGAAAAAGTAACGCAAAAGTAACACAACACATTACTTTCCATAAAAGTAACTACGGTAGTTACGTTTTTAGAATGTTTCAGTAACCTTTAAAAAGACATTCTAATTATGATAAAAAACTGGACATTTTAATATTCTTCGAATGTTTAAAACAAAAGTTCAGTTGCGTTACTTAGATACTTCTGCGTTACGTAGTTACATTTAAAAATAATGAATTACAAAATGTCGTTACTCCCTAAAAAAGTAACTAATTGCGTTACTTAGTTACTTTTTTGGGGAGTAACGCAATTTTGTAATGCATTATTTTTAAACGTAACTTTCCCTAACACTGATTAGAATGTTGTTCAAAAATGTTTCTTGCAACATTAAAATGCAACGTGAAAATATTATTAGAAACGTTTCTTACAAACTTCTAATAACTTTAATTTCACCTAAAATATGAAGCTACGTGAACGCGCATTTTTAATATACTATGAACGCTAAAACATCCCCTTTTCTAATGTAATTAAAATAATTAAAACATAATTCATAGGTTACAAAAGCGTTTCTTACAACATTCTACTAACTTTATGTTCACCCAAAATATAACGTTCTTTGAACGTTTATTTTGAATATTCTAAGAATGTTAAAATGCCCAAGTTTCTAATGTAATTAGGATGTTCAAAGAAAGTTGTTTTAAGAATATTTTCTCAATGCTATGAGAGCGTATAGCAAATATTGATCATGCGTAAGAACGTTCCATAAACATTACATTAAGAATGTTTTGTCCTAACATTTATATAACTTTTAAAAAACATTATTGGTTCATATCAAAGTCTCCTTCTCGCTGCTTTTTAATGTTATATTTGAATTAATTTTAATCTACCCTAATACATTTTATTAGCATGTTGTATTCTAAGTGTTTTATTTTTATAAATGGCAGGGTTATGATGTGACGGGACTCTATTAGGTACATGTCTATTAATACATGTGGTTGCGGGGACAGTGAGGGGTTTTTCTGTCTAGTGGTGAGGTTTCCCCTGACTCTAAATCAGAGTCAATGTTTGACCGCTCAGGGTTATTTGTGTCACAAGGCCTCGTCACAGAGTCTTCAGACTTCGACCCGCCTGCTGTTTTTGCGTGATTGTGTGTGTTGAAGCGGCTCTTATGTAACTCCAGAAGCAGATTAACCCCACAGTCAGCCAAAGACCCTCACTAATGCTGCTGTCGGGAAAGTGCTGAACTTAAACACTTTTGTTGAGCAAATTAGGGACATTTCTTTGCACCATACTAAATTAAACATTGATAGTATTATATTTTAGTAGAGGCTGCATTGCATGAAAACCAAGTCCAGGTCACAAAAGATAAGAAAGCAATGCTAATTTGATTTTGAAATGACCAAGATTGGATAGTTTTTATGTATACAAAACACAGAATATATAGTGAAAATATAAAAGAAACTTCGCACAAGAGCAAACAGGTGAAAGGGAGCTGAAAGACCAGGGGTTATTATAGTTATCTAAAACTGAAACTAAAATTAAAACCATTAAAGAAAAGAAAAAAACATGAAAAAGTTAAAAGAAATAAATATGAAAAACTTCATATTTCAAATAGTTACAAAGTCAACATGTCTCATTTTCATTTAGTTTAACTTGATGTACTAAAATAATTACAATTAAAACTGAAATGGAAATATAAAAATGTATAAAAACACACAACAAAATGACTAAAACCTTAGTATAAAAATGGATTCAAAATATTCATAAAAATATAATTGTATCTCAATGATAACACTGCAACAGACATATAAAATAAATCAAATGATCAATCAATATAATGGATTTTCTTTATACAGAAAAAAGAAAAAGTAAATGGAAGAATAAGATTGACCTAATAATGTCACAATGAAATAAAGATGCCCCATTTCTTACTTATATATATATATATATATATATATATATTGTCATTTCTTTCTATTGGTTTTGGGATGAAATGTGACCTGGACAGTTTCAAACATGAAATAATTCCTGAAAAACAAGTGAGCACAATGTTTTAGATACATGCATCTTTTGATATTTATACTACATATTTCGATATTTTACAGAAAAGCCTTTAATTCACATTCACAAGCTGTTTTTATACAGAAAAACTGCGTTTTTTTCCTCTCAGGCATTCCTGTAGCTATTGCATTTCAATAAATAAATGCAAGAAACAAATACATGCATAAGATTAATTAATGCAAGAACAAATAATTGCATACAATTAATGCAAGAATAAATAAAAAGTGTACATAACTTAAATATTCAATGTAATTTTTGTGTTTGTTTTATATGAAAGCATCTTCCAAATGCATAAATGTAAACGATGATATCTGATAATCTGATAACGCCTGAGCTATCTGATGATCCACTGACCTTTGACCTGTCAACAATAACATGCACTGTGCACAATATCCTGTGGGAATTAATCAGGTCACTCATTTAATTATAAACTCAGTAATGACCAAACTGAAAACCTCAAATGAAATTAAACCTCTAAAGGCACCAACCAGCTGCGTCGTTGAAATGTTGGGCAAATAATGCATGAGAGATTTAGACATAAACATATTTCTAATCTAATAACATGATACTCAAAAATGCACAAAAATTAGGTAAAACGCTCAGCTGCGTATATGAAAGTTGCTTTGTGAATATTCATCTTTATTTTCAAAAGATTTAATAAAAATGCAGTTAACTTTTTTCTTGTTAAAAATGACTAAAACTTTATAAAAATGTACAAATGTATTCTAAATATTAAAAACTGTATCTCATAAATAAATGAATAAACATAATGCTTGTATTTATTTTTTATTATTTTATTATAATTTTATTGACCAATTAATGTAATAGCTTAAAAAAAAAAAAAAAAAAAGTTTCAAAACACGCCTCATTTTCTTACTTTTTTCTTGTTGGCAAGTTGCAGAGAAAAATATTCCCAAAGTCTACTAGTGTTAACAAAATAAATGTTGTTGTCTGTCTTTTGGAAATGCCTTCAAGTCAGAGTCTCACTGAACACTGGACGCAGTGTTTGCCTGCTTTTAGCAGCTCTATATTTAACGCATCGCTTCCTCCAGTGTCTCCATCAAAGCGGCATTGTGGGGCCTGTAGTTTTTACATCAGAACGCGGCTCATAATGCATGTATCCGTGCTCTTTGATTTAGCAGTGGACACGCATGCGCAGCTGCTGTGCGATCTGTGGCCGTGATGTTCCTGTGTTTGCTCAAGTCTGAACTCGACACAAACCCAACACTGTACGACGACCACGCCACACCTATGAGTTTATGAGTCTGCTCCATCAGGAGTTTAATTATGAGGAAAAAACTCCTGAGTGAGAGACTGATGCTGAACTCAGAACCGAGCACTAGCATACAGACAGACAGATAGATCCTAAAGATGACATGTAGATGGAGAAGAGAAGTGGTCCAAGCACTGAGCCTTGAGGAACCCCAGTAGCAAGATAAATGGATTGGTGGACGTTTAGATGATACACAGATGGATAGATGGATGGTTACTCCTTTCTAGTTAATATTATTACTTGACTTATTACTTTCTGGCAACAGTAATTAGTTACACTACTAGTTGCATTACTTTTCCTTCACACCCCATAGAAGTTGTAATTGTGTATCTTCCCCATAACATTCTTCTAAAATGTTACTAACAATATATTTCCGTCTCATTTGACCAAAATCTACATTGGATCGCAGTCAGAAGTCTCAGTGGTGACTGATAGTGATTTTTAAGTAAAAGGGTTCTATTAATTGTCATGTGTAGCTTGAAGCTAATTGTAGCTATAATTTCTCTGTTACCCAAATATGAAGTATTTTATCAAAAGAAATCACATAAGTTCATAAGATTTTAAATTATAGTAATATCATTTATATTGGGATCAGAGGGATAATGCCAGAGTAAAGTAATGCCACAACTTACACATCTGTGTTCAGGTCAGCTTTTCTCCTGACAAAAATATTTACATCCCCTGAATGTAAGCTTTTCCATATTCCAAGCTTTCCTGATGCACTGGTGACTTCATGTGCCAGTGCGTGTCATAACAAATTATGAAAATAAATCTAGGAATTATTGTATAGTTGGAATTTTAAATCAGTAGGGGTTGAGGCATCAAAAGTAACTAAGTAACAAGCTGTTTTATGGATGGTAACTGTAATATTATTACTGAAATATTATTAGTAATTAGTTACACTACTAGTTACTGCAAAAAGTTATATTATTACTGTAACTAGTTACTGCCCAGCACTGGTGGGTGGATAGATAGATAGAGAGACAGATAGATAGATTTGCCCTCTGCTGGTCAGTATGAACATTACAGCTGCTCGTCTCATCTGTGTTTTGGCTTTTGTGTTGAGTTTCTGTTAATGATAATGAAATGAGTGTGTGTGTGTGTGTGGTGTGTGTGTGTGCGTGTGTTGTAAGCTTGCAAATCCATCTTAATCGGTGGTCAAGGAAACAGTAATTAGGTAAATGTTGAGATTAACTCTAATGAGGATCTGGACTAAAGTTACACGAGGAGGTGTGTGTGTGTGTGTGTGTGTGTGTGTATCTTCATGAAATCACCTTTCCAAACATCCCAATTAACATGATCAGTTGCTTTTGGGACGATGTTGAGGTTTATCTGTCACACACACAAACACACACACACACACACACACACACACACA